AAATCAATGTTTCTTTTTAAACTAACGATAGTTGATTCATCAGTGATTAAGTAGATCCTGCTATTAGATTTCCCAATTTATTTCTCCTTTCACTAGCTATATGATCGACAACTTTGGTTATTTGTTTGTTTGTTTTTCCACTGTGGTGTTCTGTTCATGAGAAGTAGATTTCACATGCACCACTTCCCTCAAAATTTCCTTCTGAGCTTCTTCTGCTACTTTAGCAGCAGCTTTATGCCATGAACTTTCTTTATAGTCAAATAATGTTGTCCTTAAAGATAGCAATAGTTGTTTTGTTTTCACCATAGGCAGAGTGTTCAGAATTTACATACTCTTTGGATATTTTCATCCCCATTTTCTTCTCAACTTCAAAATTTTGGCACTGATTACAACCAATTTCTCACCAGTTTTGTGATAATGACTCATTCTTCTAATGGAAATTGTTTATTTGTCCAGCTGTTTGGCACCTGGGGCAGTTTGCACCTAAACTTCTTTCTTCAGTACAGGAAGACTTAGGTACCATTGGGATTTGATTTGATTCCACTTTTTCAGTTTCTTCACATAAAGAAACACAGGATATGAAAAATAATGTGTGATCTTTTTACATTACTTGCCACAAAAGTTTGGCACCAATGAAAACCCCGCCATAGCAGCCAAATTCTGATGAAATGTGTTGGTTCTAGCTGCCTGGAGGTTTGGTACTGCTGTAAGCCCTATTTAGAAGACCAGAGCACTGGTACATGAGGGCTAATTAAATCTACATCTTAAAACAAGGTTGCAGACAAGGCTGTATAATAACAAACATACCTTACTTAAAATGATTTAGGTGGCTAAAGAAGAATTATACAACTTTAATGTCAGCATTGAAGAAATTGAACTGGAAAAGATTTTGAAGACCTTGGTTCAGCCATCAATTCAAATGGAGAAGGCAGCCAAGAAATTAGAAGAAAACCAAAACTTGGCAGCACAGCAATGGAAGTAACTAGTAAAGAAAACCAAGTGTAAGAACATTTCACTGGAGACCGAGAACAAGCTCATCCATGCTTTTGTTTTCCCCATCAGTGTGTGTGGGTGTGACAGCTGGGCAGTGAAAAAGCTGACAGGAAATAAATGGATGTGTTCAAAACATGGTTCTGCAGGAGAGCTTTGAGAATATCCTAGACTGACAGAAAGACAAACAAGTGAGTCCTAGATCAAATCAAGCCAGAACTTGCCCTGGAAGCAAAAACTGAGTCAGCCATGGAGTCAACCATAAGTCAGAGATGACTTGATGACATGTTACAACAGCAGCCTATTCAAATCTGGTAAAAGATGCTGGAACTGAATTCTGACAAGTAATTAATAGCAGACAAGATGCCAGAACTCATTTCTATGGAGTTCCACCAGAAAATTCAAAATTTATCAAGGCAATGCTGAGCACCTGTAGGGTAGACCTAGAAAAATAGAGACTATCACTGGAAGAACTGAAAGCAGGTAAAGTAAAGTTATCCCTCTTTAAAATATCATTATTTTCAGACAAAATATAAAATAGAAAGATAAAATTACAATAAATGTGGGCAGATTTGCCTGTAATATCTATCCACTGTGAAGACAAGGTTCTCCAAATGTTTATGAATGAAACTACAATAATAATGAAGAAAAATTATAGAATGCAAACTCTTGAAGTCAGAACGGTATATGGCTTTAGTAAGTAACTCCCAGAAGTACTCTTAAAATGACTTACTGGTTATTTGAATCAGTCCATCATCTCTTGGTGACAGCATCAATTTGCAGACTTTTGGGTGTGTTGGCTCTCTAAGAGTTACAGCTCTGAAAGCACATCAGTATAAAATGAAGTATGGAATGTATTTATCTAAGAGTACACAGGTGTATAATTTCTTTTATACTGGATAGTATGTGATTCAATTACTTAACTGATATAGTACTATTGGCTACACAACCCCATTCCAGTTCTTAGTGTCTAGGATTCTGAAGTGAGCTGACAGAAGGGAATACACTCCTGAGGTTAAGGGTCTGAAATCTGGCTGCCAGCGTTTTTATGTCCCCTAACAGGCTGAAATGTAGCAGGAGAATCCTTTCCTTTAATAGAGATGTAGTAATAGGGAAAACTTGATCATTTGCTTTTCTGCCTCACAGAAGGAGCCTATCTGACATCCCAGAACTGCTGGCCTGAGCTTTATTTTGCTTCCTTTTTCCACAGTTCTTAATCATCCAGGAATATGGATGGCTCACCTGGTCAGACTGTTGCTTTCCCTGTGAATGGGACAACAGATGAAGGGATGGAAGGAGGTTGGAGTGCTGTTTTTGTCATGTGCCATCAAATTGTCTCTGATTTATAGTGACCCTATGAGTGAAAGTCCTCCAAAAGGTCCTTTCCATGACAGCTCCGCTCAGCATTTTTCAATTCAAGGCTGTGGCTCCCTTTATGGAGTCAATCCATCTCATCTTTGGTCTTCCTTTTCTTTTTCTGTCTTCAACTTTCCCTAATGTGACGGTCATCTCCAGGGAGTTTTGCCTTCTCATGATGGGCCCAAAGTAGGGCAGCCTCAGTATCATCATTTTTGTTTCTAGGAAAACTTTGGCTTGATCTAGTGTTTGTACAACACAGTAAGGTAAACACATGACGAGCTCTAACAATTTTCCAGTGCAGATCCTGAAGCCTTACTGATGTGATAAACCTGTGGTTGGTCAGTACCAGTTCAGACTAAAGGGGAGGTCTATCCTGGTTGTAGGACTCTGTCTGTCTGTCGCCTGTCTTTTCTAGACGTATCCAGAGGCCCTCTTTTCCTCATTTACCTTCCTCCCTTTTCTTATATTTTCCTTAGATTTCTGATGAAGGCCTCTGTCCTAAATTGTTCCTTGGAGCCAAACTATTTGATTATCATACATAAACTGACACTATTATTTTGAAAAAAGTTGCTGCAACCCCTTATACAGAATGTACTCCTGATTTGGATGGAGGCCCTGCTGTATTTGCTGCTGAAATGTCCATGGAGAAGTTAATTAGAAAAATAGCTCCTTTGTGGGGGAATAATGTCTCATGCTGTTCATTTATCGGATCCTAGTTTTTCTGCAATAACCTGAGGTTTGCCATCTTTTCAGCCTGCTTCCTAGGATACCCTACTCTCAAAATTTTACCCCTTATTTTTCTTTTTTCCTAGAGCTTTTTTTTTTCCACTCAGTGTTCCAGAACACAGTCTGACCCATGGACATCCTCTTGTCCACAAGATTTGTGTGAGCTTCAGTTCAAGACAAGAGATGTGTGTTGACCCAGTTCACACAATCACCACAGTCCTCCATGACTTATTTGAGCATGTGCTGCTGCATGGCTTTTGAATATTCAGGCTGTAACAGTGGCTTGGGATGTGTGACCTGGTGAAGATGGGACCTTGGAATGGTTAACAAACCGCTCAGAGTCTCTGGTCTCACTCAGGGATGTGGGTGTTTTGTTAATCACACTAATACTAACCCACCCTAAACAGGTTTGGATGACATGACAAGCTGTGGTTACTGCTTGGATATGCAAAATGGCTGTCTGCCTGCATGGCAGCCCATCATGGCTTAAATAAGCCATGGTTTGCTGCTTGATGATGCAAACAGGCTGATTGTGTAGGTCTGAGTTAGGCATGAAATTGCAGCACATCAAAGCAGCTTTGCCCATCAGAGCTAGAAGCTTCATCAACACTGTCGGTCGTGCATTAAGCATATAGATGTTTTGTTTATATGCTGCATTCACTTCTTGAATGCATTATTATAGGTCAGCAGTGCCTATGAGAATACTTAGGCTGGATGCCTGCTTCATTGTAGATGTTAATAGTTAGATTGATTTTCTATCACTTTAATTAAATTATTGGAAGCCCATGGGAAGATATACGAAAAGGATTTTCAGATTTGGAGAGGAGATCCAGTTTGGATATTAACATAGATGCATATATTCAAGGGCATACCAGAAGGTCCCAGGTTGTTCATAAACACCAACTTAATTGTCTCATGCTGTTGATTTTTTCTTACTATTTTTGAAATAATTGGATTGTAACTATCAGGTGAAGGATATAATACTTGTAGCTCCAGGGTATCCTTCACTTTCCCAGCTTTATTCATTTGAGTTCCAACAACATAAATACTATATTGGAAAAATTCCTGCAGAGCTTACATATTGACTCAAATGTTGTGGTTTCAGTCATACTAAGACATATTTTCAAGACTTCTCCTTGATGTCTTGAAATCCTGTGACATTCTTTTTAAGGTCCTACCCTTAAAGGCAGAATAAGAATAATTTTCAATGAATAAATCCCACAGTGATTCTTTGTTACCCTAAAGATAGCAGTGTATGGTTGTGTTGGGGGAATGCTCTGGCCTTATCATTAGGCTGAGTGAACTGGCTGTCTCAGGTAGCAAACACTAGAAGTTAGATGGGCAGCAAGGTGTTTGAGAATGGAGCTGTCCCTGCATCCCAGAACCTGCCCTTAGGTGAAGTGATGGACACTGTCCCATTGCTGGCATTGAAGGAGGATTCAATGTCCAGTCTGAGCAGCTCCTTGACATGGAATGGTGGTGGTGATAGATTCACACACACCATTTTATTCTTTGTTTCCATATTCAAAATGTCTTGGGTTGGCCTTGCCTAGAAGCCAAACAAGAAGACACTGGGGGTGTCCATGTGTTATGGTTGGCCTGAATTGGCCACTCAGCCAGATCATATTAACTCCATCTTAACTCAGGACAAAGAAGGAGAAAGCTCCAGTTTGCAATCCATTGCAGCTTTCTGTTAAAATCAGAAGAGATAATAGTTGCTACATGCCGGCATTGCAGTGCCAATGCCTTGGCTGAAGCCATCTGAAGGACAAGTGCCTCCATTTAACAGACATGTTGACTGGGAAATCATCCAGGTGACCAACAGGGCCTACTGTTCAATAGCTCTTCTCGGGGCAGAATATGAGCACTTGGTAGAGAACCAGCCAGACTAAAACACACAGTTCTTTTGGGAAATCTCCACCCAGGCAATGGAATGGGGGCACCCAAAGAGATGGACTTCACTGGAAAAAGAACCTGAGGTCTTTTCTGCAGTACAGCTGCTCCCGCAAAGAGACGGAGGCCTAACACAGGGACCACAGGACTTCAGAGAATCAGGTAGGCAGTTTAACGCAGGGCTGTGAATAGCTAGACTGTGCTTTTTCTGCTTTCTTTGCCACTGAGTTACTACTTTAAACCACTTACTACTTTGTGCTTTGAAAATGACTAACCCTCCCCCCACACCCATTCTATACCTTCTTGCTGGAATAATTGATCAATTCTTTATCCTGTTTTCATCCAAGTCCCAACTGTGTTTTTTGTGGGGTGAAAGGGAGAGACTTGCAAAAGGCCTCACATTATTGGTAGCACTAATGCCGATTTAAACAGCAGGTTAAATGCAACATACCAAACAAAGCTTGTAACCTAAGCTGCAACAGTTCAAGAGGCATGCAAAGAAGGCCCCTACTGGGGTCATTGGCCAATTGTCCCAGAGGGACTGAGAGTGCTTTGGGAAGGAGAAGATTGGGTTTGTTTTAACTCTTGATGGTAAATCTTGATGGTTTGTTCTACTCTTGATGGAGTCGGCTGGAACCGGGGGTCAGACTAGATGGCCTAGAAGACCCCTTCTGACTCGCTCTGTTTCTGTGTTCCTGTGCTGGTAAGCTGTACCCGCTGGCACCACTGCACTAGGTCTAAACAAAGCTTTTGGTACCAGGTTGCCACACCATGTGACCTTCCTCCTGAACCCCAGCCAATAATTGATGGCACATGGACATCTGTTCTAAGGACAGTTGAGGTCCCAGGAGGAGCTTCTCCAGCATAGGAACTGCCGTGTTATTTTGAGTGGCCCTTGGACTGTGCAATCCGTGAATGCTTTGGAAAGTGTTGAAACAGATGTGTGATCCCTCCATCTTAACAGGCGCTTAACGCTACACTTAACATGGTTGGCTACTGTAAGCCTATCACAGACTAAATGCACTGATGAAAGGACAACATAAAAAAGGCACATTTTGAATGGCTGGAAGTCTATTACAGTCAGCCTTGTAAAAGAAGCCTTTTAGGGTCAGTAGATAATGAAAATACCAGTTACCTATGGCTGAGTTAAAATGATGTCATGACCTGGCAATTTCTATTCAGTGCTGACACATCCACGTACAGCATCGCTCAAGATTGCCTTCATGTAAATATAATAGGATTGTTCTTTTTTTGCTCTTTTTATTTTTTGTATTTTTGCTTTTCTGAGAAATGTAATCCAGGAAACTTATAAAAAGCAGCAGGGATTCGCAAAAAGCTTGGAAGCCTATTTTTTCCCATTTATTTTTTAATGCAAATTACACTAGTTAGTCCAAAAAAAAAATCACCTTTTGTTAAAAATACATTCATAATTAACAAATGACTATAAGAAAAAAAGACATTTGGATTGTTAACACTTGCCTTCTGAATATTTGGATTTATAACAACAAAAAGCCCAGTCTAGAAAAATAACATTCTTCACTGGATTTTGAGGAGGATACAGCTGTACAATTCAACAACAGTATTTCAGATATTCTCACGCTACTGTGCTCTAAAATTCTTTTTATAGCAGATGTGCCCATTAATTTATTCTCTGTAGTAGTCGACAGTCCTGAAATGCTTTTGGTGGTAGTGGTTTACCTCTGATGTAATCAAGTATGAAGGCCCAATATCAGAAGTGTGTGTTATATATATCTATATAAATGGCATTATTGCCAGGTAATGAATGTAGAATTCTCTTCCTAATGTCTTGGAATTCTCAGATTTTACTCAGTGGTCTTATAGCGAGATGGAAGATCTCAAGGTCTCTCTTGCATCTTCCTAAGCATCCCACTCTTCTTTCATTTCCAGCACACCTATAAGCCATTTCACTTAAGGAAGTGCTTTAAAGAAGAAGAGATGCCAGTAACCTCAGGCAGTGGGAAGCCCAGGCATCTGCTATCCCTTAAGAGTTTAAAGGTGGGTGGGATTTTTTTTTAAAGGTGGGTGAAATCTCTTGTGAACCCCACCCTGCCAGCTCAGCTTTTTGTCTCCCTTTTCCCAGCGCTAGGGGGAAGAAGCCTGCCATTCACACTTAGATAAGGGGATGGAACGAAGCCCTTATCTACCAATGTGCTCCTGTGGCCACAGGTGCTGCTGAAAGAGGATAAGAAGTTGCACCGTTGGGAGTCCCACTTGCAACAGACACCATCCGTGGTTGCAACAACAGCCACTCAAGCTCAAACAACAGCCACCAAGTGGCTTTGGTGTCCCTTCTCGCTCATTCCCTTCCCGACTTGTGCATCTTTTTGAGACTTCCCAGCCGTGCTAAGAATGGTCCCTGTGCTACACTCTGAAAAACATTTGGCGCACTAAGCTAGTGCTGCATAAGCGAGTCTGGATTCTTGTGTCATTGGGTGCATGCACACAACAATTCCCATAATGTTTATGGTGGTACAGGATTCTTGTATGGCTCTGAGATGGCTCATGCACTTGCCAATGGTGATGCGCAGGCATAAAAACCATGAAGCAGATGGGATCACATTTGCCTCTCTCACTCAGCAATATCCTATACTGGATGCCACTGATGTTCTAATAGGCATATTTGTGGGGTGTGCCTTTAGATTTTAGGAAGGTCCCTATGCGCCTTTTACAATTTGTAGTGACAACAGGATGGCTGTTTCCCAGTAGATCTCAATGCAGGCACGGGATGCAAAGGTAGGGGAGTGAATTAGACCACAAGCCTCAGAAACATTTCCTGGTAGGGAAGGAGAGCAAGACACCCTTGTACATAGGATTATTCAAACAAGTGTAATATGTACACATTTTAAAAAGAAATTATTGGGGTTATACAGTATATAGCAAGAGTGAACTGCAGGATAGGTAAAATAATAGATCCTGAAACAAACCAACCCCAAACCCATGTACCTTTTCCCTTTAATAGTCCAGGAATGTGAGATATGTAAAGGCCAGCATTTCAAGCCATCTAAAGTGCAGACCCAGAAATCTACATACAATAACCGATTCTGTAACAACATGCTTTGCCCTTTTCCCCGGAACGGAGATAGAATGGCAGTGAGAGAGAACTTAACCAGTCCAGCTGCTTCACTTGTCAATATGTAGACCTAAATATGGGCTGTGACCCTTCAACCATCCATTGTAGAGTTGTTCCATTGGTTTTCTTGGTTCAAAATACTGCATTCAAACCCCAAACAAGTGACATTAAGTACAGCCAATGTGAAAAACAAGGTTCAGGATACAAATTTCATGCATCATGTTCTGCATTAATTCCACTGGCAGTAGGCGAATTTCAGGTTTACAGAAGTGGCTTCTAACCTTGGTTCAAAATGGTGAAGCAGCAAACAAGCATTACAATGGAGCATCTGCAAAAGCCACACTGGCATGACATCACTAATGACATCATGCCGGTCCTAACATACAATGTAGATATAATGATGCAAAGGCTTGAAATTAGGGTGTTTGATCGTGTTGGTTTTCCCATTTTAGAATGTACCTGTAGTGTCCATTATACAATGCCAACTTCCTCATTACCGTAATGAGGGTATAATGTATAGTTTCACCCACTTCCACCTACACCATTGTATCAATGCCGAAACTGGTCATTGATATTGTTCTAAAGTGAATGTCTGTTTTGTTGTCATCCAGATTTATTATTTGTGACACGTTACATCCATGCAAAGATACCAAAGGAGGGGGGTGGGTGGGAGGCAGACTCACTGATTTCTGTAGGAACAGATATTGACATTTAGCATGGAGGAGGATGGATTTTATAGGCCACACAGAATTCAGATGTTTGGCAAGTGTAGAGAAAAGTTGCTTGAAGAAGGCTCAGCAGGTAAGTTGCTCATGCCAAAAGAATCTATGCCCATCAAGTGCCTGAGGCTGATTCATCCATGTAGGTTTTAAATAAAGAAGCAATTCAAGCAATTCAAGTTTTAAGAAAGCCTGAGCAAAATATCCCTTCCCAATGAAAAGCCACTGAAGTGGTTGAATATACAGCTCAAATTCAGAACAAACAGACGCTTCTAGGAGTCAAGATTATTTCATAAAGACATTGACCTACTAGTAAAGTTTCCAAAGGCATCTTGTTGCCAACTACATAACAGCACAGGGGTTTTTTTCAGCCACAATAATACAGGAAGATAAGATTCACATTCTAACACACAACAGATCCCCCAAATACCACAAAAAAGGTCTTCAAAAATGTCACCAACGCAACTACTCCCACCCCAACTAAAAAACAGAACAAAATCCAGAAAGAAGTATCTTATATGCTGCAGTTTGTTTGTTTTAAAAAAAGCTCACTTACATAGGAGAGTCAACTGGAATTAGTTATAAAAGAGTAAACATAGTTAATACATATTCAGTTGGCCTCTGTTGTTAGAAATATGCAGATGTCTCTGTCATTAGTAAAAGACATAGAGTCATTTATAAAAGCACCTAGAGTGCAGTGAATAAAAACAGTGGGGTTAAGGAGCACTGCTTTTGCTGTTTCTTTACAGTTATCAGTTTACTAAGAGTTCCCTTTTCTGGCATTTCCAACTCCCAAAAGAGCTTCATTGTAGGCTTCATGGTAAAGTATCTTTTCTTTGACAGTAGATGGGTTTCTTACCCAGCCAGCCCGGGAAGTGCTGGTGAGCGGAGTCTGTTACTTGACACAGCATTAAAAATCTTTTAGAATTAATGAATAGCATGGTTGAGCCTAAAGGAAATTACTTCAGAAAGCCACACCGAATTTCTCTGATGTGTAACTTAGAATGGGTTAAGGCAAGTATGTAGTATACAGCCTTTAGGGCAAACAACTTGCTGTCTATTGACTTCTGTTTCAAGGTCATGGTGGCATCTAAGATGTTATTGACTAAGAAGACACGGCTCCAGACAGTACAAAGCCTCAGAAAGAGCCAAAATGGATGGGATCGTTTCATAATTAAGAAGCAGCAGCAGAGGGAAAGGAAGGGAGGAGATGGCACCACTGGCCAGAAGAGGGCACCACTGCTTCTCCTTTCAACCCTCCTTATATGAATTTGGAAAATCCAAGATGGGAGAGACTTGATCTTGTGCACTGCTGTCCATACTAGTTAGAAAGTGAGGCCTTGTTCTCCGAGTGTTCTTGCTTTATTTTATTCTGAAATGGTAAATTAGGACTTCTTTCATTCTTTTGCAACCCATGGGAGGCTGTGTCAGAAAATGCTCTTTGACCAGTTCTTCAGCCCAGCCACTGACTTTCCTTTGTCTACTTTGACCTAAAGGAGGGAGAGAGAGAGAGAGAGAGAGAGAGATAAAAAGAAAAGAAAGATAGTTTGTATCACCACTCTACAAGGAACTCTCTGCCTATGCATGCTTAAACATCCATTACCATAATTACCTTCAATCTGTTTCTATGTGCAGTGCAAATTGTATATTTAAATTAAAATGAAGATCAAACAAATATGGTTAGCATCTTTTAAGGTGCATTTATTGCCAAAGCATTAAAAGATAATGTTTCTAAAACAATTCCAGGTTAGTTATAGAAGTTAACTGTTGCTTTCAGGTTGAATGTGCAGTCTGATGCATTTTATAAAATAAACATTTGATATCTTGAATCATGCCCTTTAAAAATGAACATGAAATTGATGACTGTCCATGCTCAAAGTACAATTCTTAATCTTGTTTTGATGAGGCATCAACAGGGCCAGTGACATATTAGAAGAGTGGAGAGGAGTCTAATCCAAGGTCCCCGTAACTATGCTCCTGGCCTAAAACGTCATTGATACTTTCGGGGAATGATTACCTCAAGTCCCCTCCTCACTAAAGCATCTTCCTACCTTTCAGAGTGATCAGTGTGGGTGGGCGGGAGTCTCCACACTTTTCCCATGTCACCTAGGCAAACACTGCCTAGCTTAGGGTGGCCATCAGTTTCCTAGTTACACAATCAAGCTATGGGAGGGCAGGGAGGGTGCCTGTGTTAATGCAGATGATAATATTGTGAGTCTTGGGGACCCAGTGGGATATAAATGAAAAAGCAGCCTAGCACTCCATCATTGCTTTCATTGAAGAAGTAATGGAAGGCACTTGGAGGTAATCAGTAAGCAAGTGCATCAAGAGGGGCCAGTCCCAAAGCAGGCCTTGGAAGTGCAGCAGTTCTGTTGGTCGTACATGAAACACATCGTACATGAAACACATCAAGTGAGCAATGGAGGCAATAGAAGTGTTCAAATGCTACTAACGAGATGAACAGAGGTGGGGAAATGACCTGGATGAGCGAACCTTAATGCGTTCTAGTCAGGTCACAGGACCCAATCCATGTCTCAGGGATTCCCCCTCATAGAGCAAATTGCATGCAGCCAGCCCTCTGGCACCACACTGGTGGTAGGTCATGTCATGGGTGAAAGATTGCAGAGAATGACAGGGAATTCTTCTATAAAGGTGAGCTGTTTTTGAGCAATTTTTCCAATGTCTTGGAAAAGAGCAGCATTTGGTAGTACACGCACTCATTCCTGCTCTTGTTTGGGAACATGATTCTTGTGAAAAACATAAATCTTTGTGCAGTCTATCTGATTGTCCCTCTCTTTCAAATAATTTCCCGTGCAGTGTATTTGCATATTCAACAATTAAAATGTTATTATTTGACATTCCTTTCTTAATAATTCAGTGTTGCAAAGTTGCAAATGGGTTCAATTACCATTTGTGCCAATAATTCCATATTTTTGCTTTCTCAGTGACATGCCAAAAACATCACAGTGCAACTGGATGAAAATAGGTGATAGCATCACAGAAGAATACCACAGAGCCTTGTTACATATGGAATTTTGCCTGACATATCACAGATCCTAACAGCTGGTGCAGAATCCTCAGAATCCCTGAAAAGGGTGGCAAAGCAGCCTCCAAGCCCTTCGGAATAAAATGCTTCAAAATGACATGCACTACTTTCCCTCATCCCCACCTCATGCTTTCTTCTACTACTCAAGAGTTGTTTGGATCAAGGCAGAAATGCAGCAGTGGTGAGAAGCTTCATGAGTCTGGAAGAGACCAAACAGTTGCTGCTGCACTTGAGAATCTCTAGACTGGAGGAAGCTGCAGCCCTTCCAGAAGGATGGGGGTGGGGGGAATCACATGGTTATTTATTCATTTATCAGATTTGGATCCTGTTTTTTTCTTTTTCCTTACAACAAACTCAAAGTGGCTTGCACCATTCTCTTCCTCCTGCTCTCAGTCTTATCCTCATAACAAACCTGTGAGGTAGGTTGAGCTGAGAGTCTGTGATTGTCCCAAAGTCACCCAGTTGGCCGAGTTCCAGTCCAAAGTAAGTTGGGCTGATTCAAACATGGCCGAGTGAGGACTAGAACCCAGTTTGCCTGAGTTCCAGTCCTGCACTCTTAACCACTACACCATGCTATCTTCTGAACTGCACTGGGTAAGCACAAACCTCACCCACTGTCCTGTTTCCTGCACTAAAAGGTAGTTATCCTCTCCTTGGTTTGTTTCTCAATATGGTTCTGAAAAACAAGAAGTGCTGACATCTATAATGACAAGGATAATGGTTATGTAGAACCTTGGTCAGAAAACTTAGAAGATGAAAGATGCCAAGTTGGTATTGATATACACATGTTGAAGAAGGTCATGGAACAACCATTCTGCAATTTATCTTCAGAACATAAAGATGGGGAAAGACAAGTGCATCTATAGAAGGGGCAGGCACAGAAAAAAGTAGTTGCATGATTCCTCTGCTTCCATTCTGAACTTAGGCAGTACCAGGTGGGTGGTGCCATGAGCTTTTTCACAGGGAAAACTGGGTCCTGAGAGTTGGCTACAACATCCCAGTGTGTCTTTTTCTGTTTTGCTAGGAATGTCAGCCTACCCAGCAGCTGCACTGTCTTCTCCATATTCTGAGATCTTGTCCCTGTCAGTGAGAAAGCTGTGTGGAAGCAGAATAGAAGCAAAGCAGCCCAGAGTTTGAAATGTTCCTTGTTCTCAGCTATAAGCATCAAAATTTACATTGACTTCCTTTGCCCTAAAGCTTTGGCTTTTTTCTCAGCCAGGGTTAGTAAGCTCTGTAAATGCAATCAGCTACTCTGAAAGCTGAGCACATAAAAAGAATGGGATAATATCTCAGCTAGAAGGCTCCATATGTTGATAGCAAGGTATACTATATGAGGGAAGAAATGGGATTAGAATTGCTCTAAGTACCTAGGAGCCACAAACGGTGAGTGGAAGAAATAACATTCCTTTTTTTTAGTGTACAACACACTGACAAAAGTGAAGAACATTTCCTTGGGCGCAGATGAGAAACTGAATTTTGAAAACGCTGCTGTGTTTCACAAACAGTCCAATAGCTGAGCTCTAATCATAGCTTCACATGCATCCTATTGAGGGCTTTCACTCCAAAGTAAGTTGGGGCTGATTCAAACACATGGTTACCAGCACAAAAGCTGCTTTGTGGTGGGGGTGGGGGTGGGGGTGGGCAGGGCAGTGGGTGGGGAGGCAATATGTGAAATATATAATTGCTTGAAAGTCACTTACCATGTGGATGGTCCAATCTGATGGAATCTCCATGCTACTATTGTGTTTTCCTTACAGTTGTTAGAACTGAGATGCGCCACATTTTGGGTCAATGCATCTCGTGAAATGAATGAAAAACTGAGATTCTCTAACGGTACAATGTACCCCATTATAATGTAGATGAGACAGACTTAGACTATGCACTTGCAAAAGATGTCATTGGTCATTCCAAACAAAATGTTAAGCATTCTTCTTTTCTGTTACTTAGGCCATGATTCAAAAGGAATTCATGGCCCTTCTGATCTTTTCTTCTGCTGCTGAAAGCTGTATTAGTTCTGTCTGCAGGCTTTTATGGATCAGGATTAGGACGGTAAGAAGAGCTGGGGTGGCGGAGACCAGGCTCCATCTAGTCTGTCCTTCTGTTCACCCGGTGGACAGTCAACAGTCTACGGGACTTGAGTGCACCACTGTCCTCCTGCCCAAGTTCCCAGCAACTGGTGCATGGAGGCGCACTGCCTTCGATCCTGAAGGGGGCATGCGGCCATCAGGACTAGTAGCCATCCTCTGTGAACCTGTTAAATCCCTTTAAAACTATCCAGACTGGGGGGCATCCCTGTTTCTTTTAGAATTGAATTCCACCGCTTAACTATCCACTGTGTGAAGTACTTCGTTTTATTTGTCCTGAAGTGCCCACCAAGGTATGTCTGCCTTGGGTTCCAATATCATTCTCTACACAAGACATAATTGTCCCTAAGGTGAACAATCCCAGCTACAATATACTTTCTTTTTAGGGGAGTTGCTCCAGCCCTCTTGAACAAGAATAAAACCTTGTTATAGCTGAAATCATGTTAGGGGAGTTGATTGTTCCTCCAGTAGGCCCAGTGCATCCCAGACGATGTCAGGGCAGGGTGTGCCCTCCCCTAATACCACCCACTGTTTCCTCCCACATTTTCCTCTGTGCTACCTCCCAACTTGGAGAAAGGAACCAAGGCCCAGGCTTCCTGCCTCCTCATGCACAGATGGGTGAGGAAGATGTTTTGAGGGTGGGAATCCATCAGGTTCCCTGGGTTCAGTTCCTTAACTCTGCTCTACTTTGTTGCATTTGTGAGACGGAGTTCCTGGTGAGCATGCCCAGTATGAAGTGGCACTTGCCAGGAATCCAGCCCTGCAAGAATGCTGCACAAGTCGCGTCCCTCTTCCTTTGTTTGTGCTGCACGGGATGTGGAAGAAGATTGTGCACTGTGTAACCTTCGTTCTGTGAGCGCACATCTTCTTGGTTTTCCTCTTGGCTTTCTAAGTCAGGGTTGAGCATGAGAGGGACTCCATGGAAGCTACAGTGATGGATTTCACAGAGCTTTATTGCAACCCTATCCAATCTGAGGTGAATGATCACAGCAGAGATGAGGGGCAGTGGGACTACATGGAGAAAAGTATCCTCAGAGAGGCGGCCACATGGAGAAAAGCATCCACTCTTTTCAGCCCAGGCAAATCCCAATGGCCCCCGTGCCAGAGTTGTTTCTTATCAGATATTGGAGCCAGTGAAAGTGTGCACTGAAGGACAGGGATGGGTAGGCTGTGAGAGTATGGAATCATTCTGCACTCCGTATGGACGGTCAGGTTCGTAGCATGAGGGGGTGCATCTTGAGCTGATGCGAGAGGGTTGAAGGCTCAGTGGCAGCAGTGATGGAGTGTGCCTTTTACCAGCTTGAGTTGGTTTGCCCACTGCAGCCTTTTGATTCTGTTGATTTATTTACAAGATTTATATACCACTTTATATTCTGGCATGGAGATTTCAGAACAATGAAAAATAACAAGGCATAAAAAAGAAAGAAAAAGTCAATCTTTTCAAAATGAAATCAAGCAAACCTTGGCTTGTTAGTCCAGGAATCCTTCCTAAAATAAGAGTGTTTTCAAGAGGCACTGAAAACAATGCAATGTTGGTGCCTTCCAGGCCTGCAGAGGCAGGTTATTCCCAAGGAATGGGGATGCTGCACTGAAGGCTATTCTTGGGAACATTCCACTAGGCCCACAGGTTCATGTAGAACCACCAGGAACATGCCATCCACTGATCTCAGTAAGGGAGAATACACGCTCTTGAAGAGTCTTGTGGTCCACAGGGCCATAAGTATCAAGCCCTAAATCCATACTAGTTACTTCAGCTTTGATTGCTGTTGTATACTTGGTGTGGGCTTGCCAGTGGAATGTGTTCAGAAACTTCAGCTAGTGACAGAATATGGTCTCAGGGCTGGTGGCAGGTCAGCGCACATAACTCTGACATTACTTCAATTGCAGTGGTTACTTTCTTGCTTTTTGCTTTGTCAATGCTATTTTAACTTGTACATCCTCAGATGGCTTGGAAATGGGTACCTGCTAGATAGTTTCCTTTCCCGTATGCCACCAGATGCACTCTATTCAGAGATCTTGCTGAGGGTTCTTCCACCAAATTACAGCTGGCAGTTGTTTACTAAGGGCAAGGCCTTTCTACTCATGGGCTGCGTTAAGAACATAAAAGCCATTCTGTATCAGATCAGTGGTCCACCTAGACCAGCACTCTGTGTGGTTTTCCAGCAAACTGGCTGCACACGGGATCCCTCAGGCAAGATGGGTATACAACAGTTCTGTCTGCCCATCAGCAACTGGTGCATACAGGCATGCTGCCTGTGGTGAAGGCTAGTCGCCACAGATAGCCTCTTCCTCTACACATGCATATGGCATCCAGAACACTGACACCACGGCTGTGTTCACACAACACAACAAGCCACCCTGTGCGGTTACCATGGTTCATAGGTTTTTACCATGGTTGAACCGATCAAGGGGTTTTGACATTATCATGGATTTCATGTTCTCGATTCAGTCCTCCTGCTGTTGGCATATATCCCATCAGCCACTGTGCCTGAAATTCAAGGTGCATTACTCCCAGACTATCTCACCTGCCTCTTTTTCATTGGTCCACATACAGAGGCTGGTTGGCTGAATCCGCTTCAGCATTTGCCACTCTTTCCAGAGAATCCTGTGGTAGATGAATGCCAGGATCATATAAACCATCCTGTTCAGACAACAGGACAAGCCATGGTGGTACAGAGAAATCATAGAAGAAACCATTGCTGCCGATCATGGTTTCTAAAGTCCAAACTTACTGTGGTCAGTGGCAGACCAACAGTGGTAAAAACTCATCATGGCTTGTTCTGTGGTCTGGAGTATGCTATGGTGTCAATGTTAAGGAATGTCCAGGGAGGCCCAGTAAGTTTAGATGACCTGCATTTTCAGGCAGCAGGCTAAACATTGGCCATTTTGTAGGGTTTGCGGTTGCATGTTGGTTTCTTTTAACATCTGGATTTGGATGTGAAAATGCTGGATTTTATTTCTGCTGCTGCTGCATTTCATTTGTTTTGATCTGAACTTATTTTGTTCTAATATTGTCATTATTATTATTATCATTAATTGTCTTGGGTTGTCATTTGACAAGAAGGGTAGGATATGTATTTTTAAAATAAAATCATAGACACCTAAGCAAAAATGTAGCTTGCTAGGAAGATGGGAAGCTGTCTTAGATTAACTCAGATCCTCTGGTTCTACAGTTTTAGACATGAGTCTTTCCCAACCTGAACTGTAGATGCCATTGAGATATAGCTGCTCTGCTTCCAGCCGCCTACAATAAATCCAGCTCAATAATCTAATGTAAGATTTGTGCATTGTTAGATGCGCATGACTTTCTTCATTTGCAGAGAACTGTGTGTATATCCATGCTCCAAACCCTGAATGGAAATGCAGAACTCCAGAAGGTGAGCAGTGAGGGAGGGAGGGGGGAAGGAAGGAAGGAGGGAAGGAAGGAAGGAAAGAAGGAAGGAAGGAAGGAAGGAATGAAGGAGAAGCTCTGTACATGCATTCAAGACACACAACTCACATTTGGATCAAGACAATCCTTCAAAAATAAGTCCATTAGAGCGTCCACATTTGTCAAGGTGTTAACCATATTTTAGCTTGGTTGTGGTTGGAACAGATTCCTATTGTGTCCACGGAATAACCTAACATGTCTGTCAAATGATGACCTGATTTAAGTCCCCTTAAGTCAAACATTACCCATGATTTTAGGGGAAGAGAAAGGTAACATTATGGACACATCTTGGATGACAGCAAACCATGAACTCTGGCTATCTTGAGCAACACCATCTTTGATTTTAACAATCTTCTAATAGGCTTCTAGCAGTCCAAAGAGAATCTCAGAAGTTAGGTACTCACATATACATGGGCTGTAGCTGTAAATGAGATGTCTTCTGTGGGCCTTGATAGCCATAAGAATCAAATCCACCTATGAAATCAACTGAAAGAGGAGGAAATTGCTTTCATTGCTGAGATCATTCTCAAAAGCGGTAAGCACAATTATTTAAAAACAAGCTTCCATGTGGATTACTTTAGCCAGTCCCACCCTCTCTTAATGGTGTACTAAAATGGAAGTGATTAATTGTGCAGATAGCAAGCAAAGTGCAGCATCTACAGGGTAATGACTATATCAAGAGCAGGATTTTTAGCAGAATGCCAGTCGCCGTTTTACAACCATTTAGCTATACCTCAGAAAGGATTACACATAGCTCTTGTTGTCTATGAGCAGCCCACCTGGCTAGAGTGTATAAATTACACATTTGTTGTAGGCAGTAAATGCCACAGAACCATTAATTTGGAGCCTCCAAATTGAAACTGGTTGTGATTATGGTGGCACACATCCATAGTCACATTGTGGTTCTGTGAAGAGCAGAGGAAAGAAAATGTATCTCTGTTCTTTGGAAAAAGCATTGCCTACTTTTCCAAGAACCTGCACATTTCAATCACTACTAGAGACAGACTAATGTCGGGAAGCAGTGGGGCAGGGAAGGGGACCCCTTGTCCTACAGATATTGTCAGACCGTAACTTCAACCAGCCCTAATCATCAACCATGCTGGCTGGGCCTGATGGAATCTAACCATATTCCAACACAGATTTCCTCCCTTCCAGCAGAAAAAGCTTCTACACAGACATGGCTAACTCTTACATTTGTCAAGGGAGCTCCTGCATTGATTCTTTGTCTCAGTGCAACCAGTGCATTTAGGCACAATGAATTTGTCACTAGTAACCCTGTTTCAGTGCCACTTATAGCACAGTGCCAGTGGGGGAGTGGAGCCAGGACTTAACAGGGTTCAGCGCTGGCATTTTCTTTTTAAAATCAGCAGAGATGCTGCTGTCAATTGCCATCCCTGTCAGGGGTGCCTAAATACCTGCTGCCTTTGACTCTAGTTGCAATCTTGCATTTTCCCAGCAACAATATATATCATTCCTCTTTATAAAAAGTATTTTGGGGTGTTTTGGTTTGCAATGAAGACCAGTTATCTTTCCAAAGCTCTGCTCCTGCTGCAGATGAAAACTGCTAGAGCTGGTTTGTTGCAACAGATCCCAGTTGCCTGAATTTCTAGACTCTCCTCTGGGAATGGCTATGTGGACCATTGTGCTGAGTCTGGGCACTTCAGAATTTGCTACTGCTTAGTCCTGGGCTCAGGAGTAAGTCCTATTGAGTTCATTGTGGCACACCTCCAGGTACCTGTGTGGACTATAGCAGCCTTATGATACTGGACATTTTAGCATTTTGTAGCTGTGGATTGCACAGGTAGATTTTGCCCTGCATGAAGAGGGGTTCTGTTTTCAGGCAAGTGCTTTGAAAGATTCTGCACCAGATTGGTGCTTGTTTGTGCCAGAGGCTTCAAGGAGGATGCATCAATGTCTCTAAACTTGAGTATAGTAAAAGTGCCCTCTTTACTTTTCTGGCAGCCTTTACTTGGCATTTCAGAATCAGTGGTGCCCAGATTGACCTAGAAGTGTATCATTTTCTTTCCACTTCTCCCAACTCCCCTGCCAATTGCTGCCCTTTCTGCTGGGCATCCTATCCTGGCAGTGCCTAAAAGATCACTAAAAGTGCAATGCGGCTTCTCTATTCTGATAGCATTGGCAAAGGAGGAATAAATAAGTCTTATTGCCTGAATGACCCACAGCCAATGCGCTAAATCCTAAACTGATTAATCAAATGAGCTTTAGAGATTTGGCACTTTGTAAGATCCCATGCCATCAGCACCACCTCTAATTAGGTTTCCTTTTAGGAACAAACCTAAAGTGTGGAGATGTAATCCCACTGATGTGACATGTGGTGCTTTGACAACTTTATATGGAATTTTACTATTTTCGATCATAAACTGCTCGGGAAGAGCATAGTCTTGAATGCAGGCTAAGATACACAACAAATAAGACCAGATTAACTGAAGTCTTATGTAGCTCAGCCATAGGCAAAGGGAAGGGCTGGAAAGGGAGTGGAACACCTGCTCTGTATGCAGGAGACCTGTGGCATCTCCAGATCCTGCCTGAAGCCCTGGAAAGTTGCTGCCAGTCATGGTTAGCAATATTGTGGTAAATGGTCCAATGAACTGGCTTACTGTATTCTGTATTCCTGCATCCGCAAGAAAGTTCTGCTGATAATTTTCAATGGCGTTCACTTCTTTTTGCACAAGATTGCACTTTTTGCTTTTCAGGAAATATGCTGATTATTCAGCCATATCCAAATACATGAGTTGTCTAGATCTATACTCGTTCCTCCTGTACCAGATGGTGACTTTGATCAGAGGGCTTGCACATGGCTAGGTAGGTCTTTTTCAGATGCAAGATCAGAAACAGAATGGGTCTGTGGTACACTGCCTACTGTGGCCTTCTACCAGGGGAAAAAAGATGTAGTATCTCTTCCTTCCAGATGAAATGAATAAAATATTATTTGATTGGAATGGTAATTTATTTGTTGTAATAAATATTAATGCATCTGCCATATCTTTAGAGAAACATTAAAAACCTACCTGAAAAACGAATTCATTTCATTATAATCCTGGATCTTTGCCAGACAGTAATGATAAATGGTGGCAATTATGAAAACAAGAATGAAACTGAAGGGACTTGGTTGTTTTTGAGATATAACTATAAATGTCATAAATAGCTGTGTTGTTTTGGCTTGTTTTGGATATTTACCAAAAACTGTCTTGGTCAATGCAGTTATTTACCACTAAAAGAGGGAAATAATGATGAAATTGTGCCATCAGTTGAAAGGACTTGGCATTCTGTATATATACTGTGGAGTAGGCAACACACTGCTACTTTGACAATGACAATCTCTTTCGTGTCTGGATGGAGACGGGGTGAATTCATGTAAACAGCTTACACAATGATTATTTCACATAACATACGTAGCATCTGTAATCTTCCCATTTAATTGGTACTGCCTGGATGTAATGAAAAGCCTTGGTGGCTAAATCATGATTATGTGATGGGTATGATCATTACATTAAGAACATTGTTGCACAAATCTACATTTTGGGCATAAAGATAAGGCTAAAATAGAACTTCACACCATAATTCTATAATCTTTTAAAAAGTTTTTATAATCCAAAAAATGCAAGCCATTTTATCACCTAATGCAACCACTCTTGCTCATTTTCAAAGCCCCTACACATAATGAATAGAAGGAGAAGCCACGTTTCTTTTGCAAAACCTAAATTTACATTGATATTTTTCTTGTAGTAGCTTCCTCCCAGAAACTATCCTTTAAACCGGAGACATTTAAGAAATAGCATAAAGTAGCAGCATCTGCTGATCAACCCCACTCTGCAAGTAAAGATGTTTATATCGTCCACTCTGTACAGCATTAATAGAACATGCCCTGTATGGTGGATTTTGCTATTTAATTTTATACCTGCAGATGTGTTGGCACACCTGTTTTTTCTTCACAAGGAATACGAAGTACCCTGAATAGAAGAGGCTTGCTTGACATGGGTATAGCTGTAGGGCTTTACAAAGGAGAGCAGAAAGTCCATTGGAAAAAGCAGCTGGGCAAATAGGGAGAAATAATATGGTGTGAAGTAGTGGAGTTATTCATGTCATCCTTGGTCAGGAAAGAACGTGGCAGCAAATGTCAACAGAATGGAATGAAGTCCTACCCTATCCACCCTGCATAGAGGCTGCTTGAGATATATTGATATTGGGCTTAATCTTTCTGTGGATGCCAGTCATTAGCACTACCTCCATGGACATGCAGCATTTCTGTGTCTTGCTGACTGATGTAGTAAGTATATTAGGTTCTATATGGCAGAGGCCACTTGAATTATTCCTAAATACTTGACTTTGCAAATAACATGGGTACTTAACAAGCTTAAAATATGTCACAGTGATAGAAGAAAAATGTGCAATAAAAATCATTACAGGAATAGGTACACAAATGAGTTTCCTGTAAAACTTAGATACAGGCAGTTCCCAGATTATGAATGAGTTCTGTTCTTGAGAAAACGGAAATTTGTCTTTAAGTTGAATTTGTATGTAAAATGGATACATAGAGTTGGTCCTACACATTAGTGGGAGTTAGGGGTGCAGGATCTGCGTGAAAGTGGAAAAACCATGACTATCTCTAGATCCCCTGCCCAAACTCACCAATGCCTCCTCTTCACAGCAAGGAAATGCCAGCAAGATTTCCTTTCTAAATGGGTGAGGCAGGGGGCTTTGGAGGACTCCCTCTCTTCCCTTCCGCTTCCTCTCTCTCTGTGGTGATGATGATTTTCCTCAGTAATTTTTACAAATTAATAGAATATGTGGCAGCCCATTCATAAGTATGGGTTGTTTGTAACTTGGACACTCATAACTTGGGGACTGCTTGTATGTCTAACAGACTGAGACTGAGACACTTTCACCTAAGCTTCAGCTATTGAGTGGTATAATAAATAAATAAATAGTCTTTGGAGAAATGCAATGTAACTAAAATAGCATCTAAATGAATAGGGAAATGTCCTATATTACGCTTACTCAGATTTCTCTGGTCTCTAGCCTATGGTGACATATACAACATTGCTAGATAAGTCTATGATCATTGTAACCCTATAGAAAACAGCCAGAGGTTTGTCATACTCATTTGCCTTCACATATTAAATGTAACCCCTCCCCCCCCCAAAAAAAAACAAATAATGCCACACAGCTAGTGTTCAACCCCACCAATCATGGGCATGTTGCACAGATCATACTTGTTTTGGAGTCTTGCTTCCATATCCACACAGGGACCTTACAGTCACTCTTCCGATGCATTGTTGAAACAGATGCAGGATCTGAGAACAAAACCCTACCTTCTTAAGATCCAAACTTAATTTCAAGAAACTACATAGAATCTTTGAGTTGGGACCATTTTGGTCATCAAGTCCAACCTCCTCTTTAGGAGAAGTCAACACCTCTGTCTGAATCCTCCTTAAAGGGTGGTGTCCAGAAATGGAGACAATAAT